TTTTTTTGCATCCTGCACAAAAAGTGACCTGTGATCTTTCCAAGTAACTGCAGTTAAGTCCTAAGTAAATGAAAATGTCAGAGATCTTACTTGCAATTTTCTCTTTTTCATTCTTCACCCTTTTGAACATTAGGTTGTCAGTTACAAGGCCTTGAAGACTTTTGATTGCTGTTTAGAAAGACCAGTGACTTGTGGAAAGTTGTATTTTAGCATTTGATCTGGCATTCAGCCTGTGATTTGTTGTTAGGGACCATCCTTCGACCTCAAGGTTTTCTCCAGCGTGATGAGTGCATTAGTGACATACATGAGTGGAATAACTGCAAAAGAGTTATTATTTAGAACAACCTTGGAAATACAGACACTTTTGTTAAATAGGGCCACATGAGTGGAAAGGTGATCTCATTTTCTTTAGCGACTTGTAAAATCCTRAAGATGCTCATCTTTAATCTCTATCAAATTAGCCATTAAAAACATGAAGGAAGATATGTTTATTCTCCCTACTGTGCCTATGTTTAGGAAAGCTTCAGGATTAAACCTCCTTCACAAGGATTTCATGGCCAACAGGTTATCAGTCAACAGGTCAAAATGACACCATCACGTTACACAACTGACAGCTCACTGAAAGAAAAGAAAAAAACAGCAAATAGCATAGCTCACAAAAGCTTCAGGCCAACCATTAGCTTTCTTTGTAATATTAGTTTCAGAAAATAGGCTGTAGGCCTAGTACTATATCACTATACGCTATATCATTACCCTAATGGTTCAGCAGTGCTGAGCAATGTTAAAACCTCTCCATGAAGCAAACAACTCCTGCTAAATTTAGAGATAGAGCACAAAAGTTACGGGATGATTCTCCATGACAATTCTATCTCCAAGGAACATATATGTACAATTTAAAGTAATGGGTAARTCTCACTTTCATTTATGTCACATGTTTGATAGAAAACTATCAACTTCTGTCACAGAATCCATGAAAATGTCTAATTATATTTACATTAGACTTGCAAACTACTCTTTCCTGAACACTTGCATTACCATAGAGACACATTAGAACAAAATGGATAAATGTTACATGTCCTACAATGCCTTTCAATATCCAGGGCAGCGTACTTCCATTCGTAATTGAAAGTCAAGTGTTGCAAAGCAGGCCTAGCTGCCATGAAAAGTGCATGTATGAGTGTCCAGTACAGTCACATCCTCAAAGAAACAGAACTTGTTTTTCTCTCACTGTAGATGAAGGAAGATAAAGTAACTCATTTTTAGCACATAACAGGAAAAATGATATTGATTCTCTACAGTATTATTCAATGCTTTCTCTCCAAAGCCAAATACATCTGTAAAATAGTTTTCTTCAAACAAGTAAAGCACATTTTCCAAACATTTAAATGTACTGTTTTTTACCATAGCTTTTCCCTTGCTCCTCATTTTGTCCAAGCCTTTCATTTTTAACTTTGAGTATTGTTATTTACTGGTTTTGGTGGAAACTACTACATGGATATCAGCAGGCCATTGCAGGCAACATCTTCATACGTTATGAAACATCAGTTGCATAACCCTCCTGCTGTCATGCTTCTAAGAAGAAAATTTTCTAATAGTAACAAAACCTTGAACATTTCTTTTCCATCTCTGAGCTTTTCTCCACAGAGCACACACTGCCTCTAAAAAGAGACAATGAAAAATGTTTCGTTCTTGACAATTTTCACCACTCATTAGAAAGATAAGATGCAACATTGGGCAGAGGTGTCCAAATCCTAATGCTATGTTGGACTTTGATATAAGGGAGATCAGAAATTATTAMAAGATACCAAAAGAAATGTCAAAAAAGTATTACCAAAAATATTTGAAAATATTTATAAGAGTATAAATTATTATCAAGAAAAATGACTGTAACACAACTCTAAAACATAATTCTCAGCTTTTACTGTCATAGCCTGTATCAATAAATAGAAAATCTGGATATTACCTATCCTTAAGGCTTCAATTAAGCCCATCAGTCAAATTGCAAAGCAACAGAAGCAGCAATTTCCAGTTTTCGCAGAGGAAAGGGAGGATTAGGTTAATAATGCTATTTAAGTTTTCAATAAATAATTTAGAGATGATAGCAGCTCATAACACTAGATGACTAGACGATTCTCAAACAGCAAGAGCCAGCCCAATACAATGGCAGGGCTTGCTTGTCTTTTATTTATCACAGGTTAGAAGGGACTCTTTACTGCGTRTTGTCTCTCTTCAGATGTACATGATAAATAATAAAAATTTTCTGATGGTGTACTGGCTAAGAGGGCTATACTCTTGCTGGAAACTCATAGYTAAACCTAATTATTTGTCTGAAATATCCTCCTCCTCCTCCCAGAACTGGAACCATATCAGTTTCTTTGCATGTCTCTCCTGCACTGAAATTCTGAGACACAATATGCCCTAGTTAGTGCCCAAGTCTTTGCCCTCCCTGCCATCAGCAATACCCTACCATTCTACCKATTGGAGCTCATAGGAAATGTGACACACTCTAGCCTTACTATAGCCTTCRCTTGCATTTATTTCAACTGAAGGTCTTGAAAAGAAAATGCACTTGAGGATTTTGTRAGAGTTGCAGTCTTCCCCATCCAGTTTTGCAGATGCAGTAAAGCTAGAGAGATCAGTATGTGTTTCTATTGCAAGGGATTTATGCAACTGAAACCCAACACTTTAGAGCTGTTTCCATCACTCACAGTGCGAAGTGTTTACAGCTTGGTTCAGCACCAGGCAGGATAATCACACCATTGTTTTCGCAGAGAGAGTGAGGAGAGGTGTATTATTCAAGCCGCTTAGGGACATCATCAGCTTCTTCACAAATGGGGTGATTCAACAGAGTAAGCGGCAGGTATTCCATTGGCATCTCTGGTGTGTCCTTTGAGAAAGTAGCTGAGATGGCATTTTCTGTCAGAGCTGTTTTATTGGAAGTGATAAGGAATGGAGGTGTGAGGCCATTTGGAGGGTCCTGAAAGCAATATAGCACATTCAGTAAAAGAAGAAAAACTTGACCCTTCCATGACCCTAATGCTTACTCCAGCAGATGCAATGATGTTTGCCACATTTCACCTGCTAAACCACCAGACATAGAACAAAAAGAACTAATTTTCTTAACGTCACTCAGGTGATGGGTCTATCTTGTAATTCCTTTTGACACCACAGACAACAGATTAAACAGTAGGGAAAGACAGAGCAGCCAAATTAAGAACACCTGCTGCCCATTTCAGTTGGGTTGTTGAACCCCTCCACATCCCACATCTGTCATGCCCAAGGAACCACCGCTGGTGCTTCCATTCCACCTGACACAGCGCAGTGTTTTAAAGAAAAAGTCCTTAAGCAAAATAATCAGACATCAAGCAGAAATTTTAGGAATTTGCAGGAACGTGCAAATAGATTTTTCATCACTCTGAAAACATGAAAGGATTTTCCCAAAGAAAATCCATGTTATTTACTAGCAATGACTTATAATATGCAGCTAAGCAGTGCTAAATGTTRAACTGCTTATCACATATGCACCACCTCATTCCGAAAGAAGCAGCGAGAAAACACATTATTGCTATGTTTTGCACAGTGGTTAACCAGTGGCTAAAATAATACTACATCTAAAAGCGTACTTRGAAAAATAATTGTCAGATAGTATAAATTAGCAAAGCTCTAAAGTGAACTGCAATCATGGAGTATAATGAAGAGAGAACAATAATCAATACAAATTTTTGATGGTTTGGCAAATCCAGAGGAAAAAAATTAATTGAAAGACTATTTTCACAATGTTCTTTCATGCATATTGCAGATCTATGACAGAAGGAAGTATTTTTAAACAACTGTAGGAGAATCATCCAAGATAAAGGACAGCCCTTTAATAAGCTACACAATGGAAAGAAATGTAGAAGGAGGCTATCTTCTATGTTTAAAATGTAACTCGATTCTCCAAGTTGTGTTCTGTAAAGCATTCACATTCAGAATCTCTCTTGGCAGGTTTGTCAGACATCTCGTGTGAAACAGCATTTTGTGCATTTCGACTTGAGATTTCATGACCCATATTTTATGCCTTTTTCCACATTTCTCACACACTTTTTTAATAAGGTAGTTACAAAACAAGGCTGAACTGTGAAAAATTCTGTTGTCCCTTTCTTCACCCCCAACCCAGTTTTGTACAGTCTTCACAAATTTACAGCTCCCATCTGAATATCAGAACAGAAAGAAAGAGCATTACTTGGAGCAGACTGTAAAGATTAGGGAGTTGATTAGGAAAAAATACCAGATTTACAACTTTTCACAATGGGACACTTTCCAACTTCTCACCCTTCCATATAACCCAAGGCTTTCTGTTGGCTTTTGCTCACTGGATATTTCCTTCAGTCACCCCTAGAGCCATAGAGATAATTGCTACTAAAATGTCAAAGTAGTCTCTGAAAAATAGTGACAGAGAAAGAGGTAGTAGGATTTTTATTATTTCAACCTCCAATCTTATGCCTTAAAATAAAAGTCTAAAGGAAACAGCAGACAAGGTGATAGCTGGCATGCAATTGCATAGAGGAAGCAAAACCTTAAAGAAATTCCAGGAAAAGGCTTTTTTTATTATTATTATTTTTATACATTTTATATTATTTTATGAGAAAACTGATGAAAGGATAGGAAACAATTTTTTTTTCTTAACTACTTTTAATCTGTTGAGCTGCCTGTTAGAAAAATCAACACTGCCACAGAATACACAAAGCGAAGGTACAGTGATATTTTAGCTCCAGGCAGCCRGAGTGTACATATGCACTTCTCTTCACCTTCTTTAGTTGTCATTTTCATTTTTGAAATGGATACTATGGCATTTGGATTCGAGACTTCCATAATTCCATTCATAATGCATCACAACAGAATATGCTCACCTCAACATGAAACTGTCATCACCAATCTTTGTCGTTCCTGGTGGCTCATCTTGCAGGTCTTTGACCAGATTCAAGGAAGAATGGGAATCTTTAAACTTCTTTGCAGAATGGAGGAACTTGGTAATTTGGAGACATAGCAGTAGATTACTCTTTCTAGAAGCCTGCAGAAAATGGATGTCAGTGACCTATGAGTATCTACGACCTCTCAACTCAAAAGAAGGAAAAAATAAGTGCCTCAAGCCTGCAGCTACGTTCACGGCTATGTGTCYGAGTATCACAATTACAACCAGTGGTCCGGTCCTATTTCTAAATATAAAAGTTAAGGATGAAGAGACATTTGCAATGCAGAGGATGACAACTTGTTAGGGTGTTCCTACAGCCTCAGTATGTGGGTGTGGAGGAGGAGGAAGAGTGTGTTTTATTTATATGTCTACTGACAAGGAAAATGTAACAAAAACATTTCTGTATGCTTTTAGAAATGTGCTTTTCATCACTGCTAATTATTTTCAAAGAAAACAAATGCTGTAGACTAAATTAAAAGACAATACAGTAATATAAAGCCTACCTCCTCCATAAGGATCCTGCACAAACACAGCCTATTACAAGCAAGCGAGTATTTACTCGTGCATAAAGCAGGTGGTGGCGGTGATCTAATTTGGTATCAGTGTCTGCAAACGGCTGCTAAAATGCACAACTGCTCAAACTGCACTTTGGGGCTAATATCACATACAGTTTTAGGAATGCAGATGTATAGGCCTTTAGTTACTAATGCATTTTTTAGTGCTACTTACAATTGCAATCTTTCTTTCACTGATAGGTGTCACAGACAACACAGAGTTTTTACTTAATTTCACTGACTACCAACTAACACCTGTATCTGATTGCCAATTCAGATTTGGAGGAAAAAGAAGCACAAACAGGGGAAAGGAAACACACAAACTGAAGCGGGCACGTCTCCTCCGCCATCCCGAGCTCAGCCCARCCAAGCAGCCAGTCCCAACCCCTGCGGCCACTGCCGGCCGACCGGAACCAGCTACGACTGGTTGGAACCGGCTGTGAGCAGCCCAGGGCAGCTCGTGGCCACCCAACACCAGGCATCCGCAGCCCCATTCATCCTTGGGGTCCTCCTTGTTGCGTCCAGCTGCGACTCCTGCGAAATAGCCTCTTTCCAAGCTGCCACCAGCTGGTGCAACAACAAGCCCCATCTCCTAGTTCCCGGAAGGTCTTCGGAGTGAGCTGGGAGGCAACRGAGCAGTTACCCTGCCGCGGCCCACAAACCCTTTCACACTGAAGACCCACAGAAAATGGCCTCCCTGTACATAAGATTTGCTGACATAAGAGATTTCTAAAGAAATTTCTGGAGACACAAAGTCACCTTCCAGCCCTGAAGGCTTCATAAAAGCAAGCGCAATACCAGCTCATGCTTGTCTATACGATTGCTAACTAAAATTGGTCACTGCCACTTYGGAATTGAAGCTGGGTCCAAATTTACACACAAAAGGACTTCTCCAGCCTTCAAAACTATTCATCTGTTGCAGGTTGTTACTTAGAGCAGACACTGTGTAACTAGACATTTCCAGGACACTGGAGAAGAAAAATAAAATAAAAACAAGTACTGAGTACTGATGCTTGCATTTTGTAACATCTTTTCTTCATGGTTTCTCCGGGTGACCACTGAGCTGTGACCTTCATTTTGACCCCAAATTCTCTCGCAACCAGCACTTTCCAAGGCTCAAAAAAACAGAAGTGAGAAAGAGGGGACCCACCTAGGACTCACACATACTCTTTTCTTGGTAAAATAGCTTTTGCTATCTGAAATAACAGCTAGGAAGGTACTCAGCATTTGACTTATTTTTCAGTATTTGTAACCTTGGTACAAATGTTTCGTCTCTTAGATTATCTTGCCCTGGGATGCAGTTCATGAAAAATTTATCTTCCAAATTGCATTCAATATTTGGAGATTATACCACCTGGAATCTATTTATTCAAACACACCTGGTGCTGTCTCTCTTTTTAGCCTCTGATACAACTTAGCCTTGCCACTATGATGAATCATAATTTCTGGGCTGTACAGAGGAGCCTATTTATTTCTCTCTCGATATATTACACACTAAATATTGTAGAAAATAAGTGAAAATTCATGGATACCATGAATTCCAAGTGTAATCTCACTGAAGATCCTCAACCAAGCTGAGAACCAATGTGAAGAGGGCTTTCATTTTATTATATATCTTCATTGTTTCTCCTTTGTAAACGTGCTTTCAATACTGGAACACAAATGTTTGTAACCACTGAGGCACCTTCAGGGTTTTGCTTTCTCTGTTCAGCATCTGTTCTCCACACATTTCCTCACCAGCACATTTCCAGAAGAAACCACAAGTAGTCCTGAAATAAAGGTGTTTTTTTTTCCCCCTACAAAAGCAAAACAGAAGGTACTTCAAACCCTTTGTACCTTAATGCAAGTCTCATTTTGGCAACTCATAAAAATTCCCTCTGCTAGGATTTGAACATCAAAAGAAGTAATTTAAATGGATTCATAGCAGACGCTTCACATGTAGGAAATTGTTTGAAAGCCAAATACCATAAAAATTGCAAACAATAGAGCTGAATATAATGTACCTCATTAGAAGCAACATTAATCCATTTATGATCCGGTAATTTATCTTTGCCCTTCAGTTTATTACAATGAAAAACAATCAGTGAACCTATTCCAATATTCTGTCATTGTCAAGTCCATGCTAAATATTTTAGCTGCCCAAGTTTGCTACCCAGGTTTGGCTTGGATTACGAAGTAGTAAGTTTTGCTTCAAAATTACAAAATTACTAAATACTTGATGTAAATTGAGTCCAAGGAAGGAAAATACCATCCCACTGCTGATGCCTAAAAATAAACCTTTTATTCAAACATATGTTTTGAATCATTCTCTGATAATTTGTTTTGTTTTTTTTTTTWAAATTATCTCTCTACTATTGGTTTGTCTAAAAAATAAATTTCATATCCTAGCAATTCTGTCCTCTGTTTGCTCTAACAAAGGCCTAAAAACATGTAACAGGTCCACCTTGATCTCTTCATCCTCTATCTTCCAAGAAATACAGGGTTTTTTTTTTTAATATTATTTTTATTTTTTATTTTTTTTGCTACAGCACTCTCATCATCCATTGAGATGAATGGATTTCTCCCCTCTGGATAGCACGGGAATTTCTTTTAAATACTTTATGAACATATTTCAAGTACATTTGTTCAGGACCAGCTTTCCTAAAATACCAATTYTCATTTATGCTGTCTTTCTGTTCTCATTACCTGTGTTAGTCTGTCTTCTGTTCCTTACCCTTAAATTCTCAACAAGTTTATCCTCTATTCTGAAACAAAACCACAAAGCTCTCTGGGCAAGCATAACTGTCCCTATATATATATATATATATATATATATATATATATATATATATATACACCCTATATAAATACGTCTCTCTTCGTCTCTCTCTCTCTCTATATATATATATATATATGTGAGTGAAAGTATTTTCTTCATATTTGAACACCTATTGTGTATTTCTTAAAAAAGAAAATAAAGGGGGAAAAAAAAGAGTTACGATAATTCTCAGTATACCACTTTTTCCTCAGAAATTCTGTTCCCTGCAGAGAACTGCAAAGAAATCATAATGCTAATGAAAATGCAACATACATAAGAAAAAGCCGGAATGGTTGAGATACCTACCTATCTGGCAAGCAGCTACAAAATATTTTACATCCTGACAGATCTCAAAACACTTCACAAGTCTATAATAATAGAAACATTCCATTTACTACTGAACCACAGCCAACTCAAAGACAGAACACAGCAGTGGTTTAACAGCACAGATGAACACTGTCAGCCCTTTAGAATAGTAGGTAAAGTAAATATCCTATCCATTTAAAACCATAGGGTGCTTTAAGACAGACAGAATATAATTAGCCAAACTTCTAAATAGCAAAGAGACTAGAAATAACATCCCTATTCTTCAGAGGTATATTCTGCAATCTTTACTGAACACAACTATTCAAAATACACAAAACCACTTTTTTTTTCCCCCCCCTAAAAGAAAACATCACTAAAGAAACATTATTAAGGATGCATAAAAGCCAACATATCCCTATTCCAAATAGGGATATCAGATTTGTTCTGGCTCAGTCAGAATTAATTCCATACACTGAACTTAACAGTGATTTTCCCTTTGAGAGTCTGGCAGCTACACCGTGATTTAAGAGAGATCCATGTCCTTCCAGAAAGGGATACAGAGACAACTCTATCAAGCTTATTCCTAAAAAGCAGCAAGCTGGTCCTTTGCACACCACTTCCTTCATACAATCTGCCCCTCTTACCCAACAGCACAGTAAATAGGAATACTTAAGAAAGTGCCAGTATCACAGTTAATATTCCAAGGCTAGAAGGTATTTTCACAATTGTACCCATTAAAAAGTACAGATTTCAGTGACAAAGTTCTGGTTAAAAACGTGTCCTTGACAAATCAAGTAATCAGAATCCTATTCTGCATTATAATTAGCCAGGATAAGTTTCATAATTAGGAGGAATAGATTAACATCGTACCAATATTTGTCATTATGTGACAGATGTTGCAAGCATTAACTGTTAAGCCAGCCTCATTGCTCAAAGTTGAGTGCATCCAGGCTATATATTTGAGTGTAGCCACAAGGACTAATATTTKAATTTAAACATTCTGCAAAAATAGTTTAAGAGGGATTGTAACCCATACAAGAAAAACAGTTAATATTCTCATATTATGTGGCAGGTTCAGAGTTAAATGTTGCTAAACTGAGGATTTCCCTTCTTACTCCCCTTTTACTTAATGCAGCTACACGAAGAATCCTATGCTATTAAGATGATCAAGGAATCCACTACGAGTGCCTAGGTAAATACATACCAAAAAGCAGAATCAGAGAAAGAGCAGAAAATTTAATAAAAAATACAAATCTTAACAACCATTCTTACTAAAAAGRCATAGCATTTCTTCAGAAAGCTTTTCTCTTCTCTGTGACACAGGTAAAATGAATGTTGCAGGCACTTCCATTTTCCTATTGAGTTCTCGTGAAAGAAATGCACATTCTCTAGAATCTTGAGATAATTAYTATTTCCTATGACTTTTAATTATGCAAATATGT